ACTCATTTGGGATGTTTTAACATTCTTCTTGGAATTTCAAACCAAGTACCATCCAATCCATGGGATTGATTTTTTATTCTTCTTTCTATGCTTAGGGGAGATAACTCATATCAGTGAATAGTCACTAGTCTTATTCCTTTTTCTGTGGCTTGTCTACTTCTTCCAATGAACCAGAGTATGTAACTTTTCAACACTACCAGACACAGAATTCTGACAAAGATTTTCATGAGATTTTCTCAAGAAAATAAGAGGAATAAGCAGGGAAGAACCCTTAATATGTCTGCAATGTTATTTATATATATATATATATATATATATATATATATATATATATATATATGTGTGTGTGTGTGTGTGTGCACACGTAAAATGCCAATCTAGCTAAATTAAACTTTTAGACAAATTCTGGCATTATTTACAGTGTTTATATTCGACTATTGTCTTCATCTTTGTTTTTTTATTACAATGTTCAATTGTTGTGCTCTCTGATCTTCCTCAGGTGTATATCAATCTGAGTAACTCTTTATTTAATCTATAGGACTAGACTGTTCTCGTTCCACTCCTCATATCTAAGGATATCATCTAGATGAGGACAATAGTCTTAATATAAATATTGTAAATAATGATAACTCCTCATCCAAGAAATTTAGACAAAAATTCTGGCATTTTAATTAATAATTCTTAAAAATCTAATCACATCAGGGGAGATAACCACATTCTCTGGCATGGCTATTAATTTTATCACATTTGCTGAAATTCAGTATGTTTATACAGATCATCTTCTGACAAAGCTCAGTGGCATAAATAAACCTCAATTTCCTGATAATGATGTTGATAGATCATTAATGAACAAGGATTAAACCCTGTGGTATGTTACTATTGACAAAAAACCATGAGCCTTTTGTTTACAAAGGCATTTACTTTCTTTTTAAATCTTAGTATCAATTTGTACTGAAGCAACAGATACACAGAGTTTAACAAAGAAAAACTTGTTTCTTTTTTTCTCTAGGCAACAAGGGATTAAAATTATTCTCATGCATTATTGAGGCAGAGTTGCAGGTGTGGGGAGAGATCCAAAGCAAAAAAAAAACAAAAAAACAAAACAAAAGCAGATTTAATGCTTTAAAAGCAACAATTCAAGTGTTTTTGTTATTTGAAAAAAAAAAAAAAAAAAAAAAAAAAAAAAAAAAAGGAAAGTTATAAACAATTCAGTCTTATAATTATTTTCAGTAGAAATGGCTAGATGTTAACCGTAAGTTCAATGGTAACCGTTTCTTCTCTCACGCTTCTTGCTTGTGGAACTCTCTTCTGGCTTCTTGCTCTACATTAAGTTTGATCTTCAAAAATTTAGTTGTAA